GTTTACGATCANATTTTGTCGTCAGTCAGAAGCATCAAAGACACGACGTCGGGCGTGGTCCAGGGCGTCCAATTTCACGTCCTGAAACAAAGATGCAGATCATAAAATTATGAACTTTCGCGCGGGCGAAATCATTCAGAACACGAGGCATTGAAATTAGGAGATTCTGTGATGTGGGTTGTGGCCTGCCAAAGCTCCCGGACGGAACTTGGCAGCGTGACAATGTGAGGCAAGCCTTCGCCATTGTTTACTTCTGCGACCAAAACTTATAAGAATTCGAGGCACCGAAATCTGGTGCCTTGGATTTAAACTTTGGTCCCACGGATCCAAAAGGTAGACACTTCGAAGTTTCTACCTTTCTGTAAGGTGGGCTGTCGCCCGCCAGTCTTTCTGGACTTGACGTGCCTGCATGATTTTCATGACTGGCTTTCTGACTCTGATTTCTGATGGCTTGAAGGATAGACTGATTGCCGATTCTGTTCCTGTCCAAAGTAGGCGTGAAAGCACGCATGCGATTTCTCTGTACAATGAATGTGCTGTAATCAGCTTGGTTTCGTCTAATTGCTCGTGGCCTGTAGAATTTGAGAGCTGTGCTTTGAACCGCACGTGAGGAACGCCCGGGTTGCAATATGTGACACACGAACTTGTCTCCAAGGGCTTCCGCATTACTAGGATTGAAGAAAACCAGAACAACTCACAGGAATGGGTTCTGCTTGGAAGGTCAACTCAAAGGGATACTTCCCCTCGCGGTCGAGCGCTGGATTCAGCTCTACGGTGACGCTCTGTTGTTCCCCCGACCTGTTGAAGTACAGGAATCCAAATCCTGACATCCACGTGCCGTTTCGCGTGGTGTCGAAAAAAAGCTCGACTTCCTCGAAGCGAGGCTGGAGGACTTTGGTCCCGGAGGGAAGACCGATCATTTGTACGTTAATCTGCAAGCAAATCGATGTGATAAGTGCAGACGGGTTCAATGTGACAAAGCAGGTCGGGGAGAACCGCCTACCTAGTTCTATGAGTTTCTGTGCACGCAGATGAGCGTTACTAGGCATGCAACAAGATCACTTGAGAGAGCGACTTGTCTCACGGTTAATTCTGTGAACGTGAATCTCTTCTGTCTTTTCAGAATTTAATGAGATGAAGGTTTCGAGTGAACCTTAGGAGAGTCGTTGCAGGATCATTTCAATTTAAATAGGGAGCGGCGAAAGCGAGCTTTCACGAACGCTCAGGACAAAACTATGCTGATTCCTGAATACTCGCGCCCACGAGAAAATAAAGCGCGATCCTGAGCCTCGTGGGCTCCAAAAGTTCTCGCTCCCACTACATGAAATAGCCACAAAAACCCCTCCTCCGAACCATTTTTGTTGTCCACCTACCTGCAGTGAGGTGTCTGAGAACATGCAGAATGTTTTGTTGGCCTCCCCATGGAAATCGAAGACGAACCGCTGGCCTTCTTCGAGCTCCACACCGGTCAGCTCGTAGTGAGGGTCATCTGTTCCAGTTGCCGAAGCTGGGAAAACAGACACATAGCCTTATGACTTTCCAGTGACTCTTACTGGGAGAAATGTAACACGTCGAGCGAGTATGAGTAAACAATGTCGAGGGGCCAGAAAGACAAAGGTCCGGTCCGCCCTTCAATAAGCTGGGTTCACCAAGTGCCGTTTGCTCAACGAGACCTTGATCGGATGGGGCGGCATAAAGGCGCACGCACCGCGCATGACGCTGGCAAGAAGGATTGTAAGAAAAGTGGCAAAAGTGGTCACGGGAGTCTTCATCTGAAACTCAGGGGCTCAACTATCAGATCCTCCATGCAGAAAAGCTCGAGATGGGTCCATAAATTATGCGGCAGTTCTTTGGCACTTTCAATGTGGGCGTCAAGATCAAATAATAAGAAATGCACACTTTATAGTCAGAGTCTTTTTTGGACGGACCGGATCAAATTTTCGGAGTCTCAGCACCGTAGATGGTCGTCTAGAGAGGACGTGCGCTGTCACGTGGCACTCCAACTTCAAGAAGTAAAGAAAGTGCGGTTAGGGGCATGATGCTCACCGCAAACCGGGTTGCTAGCGCTTCGGGGAGTGCCGTGGTCACAGTCGGCCGTGATTGCATTGCAGCAGAGCTGGTTGACTCCAGTGGGAGTCGTATCGCAGACGCCTCTCTGCTCCGCGTTGGGAAAGCAGCCTGCGCGCATGCGGACGGACTCAGTAAAGTAGAATCAGGTTAATGGGAGCCGACACAAGAGGGATCAAAATCACTGAAATGGTTCAAGCTAACTAGAATCAGGTATCGGAATTAGTTCGTAAGCAAGAAGAACATGTGTTTGCAGGGCAACAGCAACTTGTGTCCTTGGGCTAGCTTGCGTCCCATCCAGTCAGCCCGTCACGGTCTTACTCGCTGTTCTTCGGTATTCAAGACAGCGTCCTAGATGACCTCTTCACTAGCATGTCGTTTTTGAATGAGACGTACTGACTGGTTCTGAAAGCGGATCCATCGACATCACTTCTTGTAACTAAGAATCGGACCCCCAGAAAAGTTGTGCCAGATAGTCAACGTGCTGTTCGGAGTTTTTGGCAACAACACTCGACCTTTCTCCAAGAAGTGGTCGGATACATCATTTGGAGTTCCAAAAGAGAAGGGGGATTGAGGACAGTCAAGACTGGGCCCTTGAGTGGAAACGTTATGTGGAACGGCACAATTTGATGGCGCTTGCTTTTCTTCAAAGAGAGTCCGGGTGTCGATTCAGAACCGCCCTGCTACAGCTTACCATGCTCTCCAAGCTGCAGAGTCACTTCATTTGCCGGAGCTCGGGCTGCAGAACGGGAGATAGAACTGTTTCGTCTATCGGGTCAAGCCTTTTCGAAACATACCAGCTAGCAGGAAGTGCACACCAAGTCTTTCATTAAGCCTTCTCCAAGAATGCCAGCTGGCAGCGAGCACACAACAATGGCAGAGACCTAAAACCGTGCCTTGCATTGTCGAATGTATCTTAAGATGACCCTGATTGGAATATAGAGGGGGGAGCGTTTGTAATGAAAGAGGCTTTCCTTTTGCACAGGTGTCAATAACAGTCACTGAACTTTGCAAGCTGATCAGAGACAGATTGTGAGTGACAGGTGACCTTTCTAAACGCGAAAACAAGGACGTCTTAAGAGCATTCATCTGCCTTCTTCTGGATCCAGCTAGAACAGCTTGGAACGAAGGCCAGTGTCTGGCAAAGCATTGAGTGCAAAGAACAAACTCAAGTGATACAAGTCTTGGATGCAAGGAAGAAATTCATCACTGGCACCCAAACTTACTGCAAACTCCATTGGAGCCTGCAATCTGACTCGACGACGTAAAGGGAGGGGTGGACGCCAAAACACAGTCGGCTGAGTTTGCATCACAGCACAAAGGAGGGTTGGCCGCTGGGTCACAGGGGGCCACTTGGAATTCGTTGGGAAAGCATCCTGCAAAAACAAAAGAATGGATGTCTTGTAACAAGTTGTCTTGAGACAAGAGGAACAAGTCCCTGTGGAGTAAGAGAGAAACAGCATAGGGAATCTCGTTTGCGGACGCAGACTCCGCCCCACTGATTTGAAGGAGACGGGGCTGTTGTATGTTTGAGGTGCGAAACAAGGCCTTGCCCCTTGCTTCGGATCTTGGTACTGACAAAATTCCTGCCGGGCGCGGGTCCCCTCATCTCAAATCCTCTTGCTGTGATCATCAACCTGCATTCTGCCCAGTGCTTCCAAAAGAAAGACCGCAGACAAAGTGACTCATAAAACGAAGACCCATGACACCAAGATCTGGACATGGAATCTGCCCATACTTGGTTCCTTTCATCAACAACTCCCCCGAGTCCAGTTAAAATACATATGCTGCCAAGCTTGCAGCGGTTAAGTAGTACACTAGTACGGAGTGGAGAGACCATTATGACCTTTTTCAAGCCAACATTATCAAGCCGGAAATCAGACCGACTGCGGATCATCCTGACATGGACGTTGACCTGAGCGAGCACGGGGCAAGCACTAAGAGTCAGTGGCCCTTAGAAGACCCACATCCATCAAGGCAGCATACTTCAAGCGTGGCAGAACCTGATCAGAAAGGCTCAAGCCAGCGCCTGCCAATGACTGTATGCCACAAGAATCACCCTTGAACAAGAAACCAGTTCAAGGTTGATTTTTGGAGTCTGAGATGCACGTTCTCGGATCAAGATGTTTCTTGCATAATTGATCTGTCATCCAATTAAATGCTGCATACTCATGGCCATTCTCTGTCCTTTATCCGACCTCAACCTGTCTTCCAATGAATCAGGTCCAAGTCCACTTACCGTGCCCACCCAATTGCAGAAAACCAAACACTCCTGGGGCGTGAAGGAGCGAAAGCAAAAGGATGGCTGCGACATGCGTGCGCACCCGCTGCCCTGCTCGTGGCAACGCCCAGCTTAGCGCCATCCTGTTGTGGCGGACTTGCTATGGTGAGTTAGAGAGCTGCCAGTCACACCTCCTTTGCAATTGGGAATGACTTGATCGTTACAAGTACTGTCTTTGAAGCGCAGAAGATTTTAGTTCGTTCCAGCTCACAAGTGAGCAGCGCGGTTCTGGCGCAATCAGAACAGCTGCAAGAGAAGTCTGCGCCAGTAAACGTCGACCACTGAACGGTTGCGTTCGTTCTGCCAAGAGCCCAACGAAAGGCTCGACCATCAAGTGAGCTACGGCCGGGACTTGCAGTGACGGAATTGTTTATTGCCAAAGCAGCGGGTGGCGATTTGCAGAAGTGGCAATCCGGGGATTCTCAGTTCATCTAAGAACTGAGAATGGGCCGGAGGTGCACGGGACCAGCTGCACTTGCGGCCCCTTGCAGAAGTTCTATCGCTTCAGTCGCTTCTTCCGTGAATCTTCAGCTGTACTAAGGCTGCAGCGGTCTGGACCTCATGAGGTCAACATGGCCGCGCTGTCCCGGTGTCCGCGCAGTCGCAGCCAGTCACGGAAATCCCTTATATATACCGTACTACGGTGGGTAGCGAAACGTCGTCGACATACCGTCCGTACCGAACGGCAGGATAAGGTACGTCGGGCGAGCCACGAGCCGCATCCCCCGTTGTTTCACCGGGCGACCTTCCAGACTATAAACGGACAAAGCCAGCAGAAAGAGTTACACATTCAGACCATGATGCATAACCCAGTCTACCACTCAAATTGGCGGGATGAGGAACCGTCTGCATCCTTGTTTCCTCCGGCAACGTGTCTAAACGCATGGATGATGAGATTTCATTGAAGGCATGGCTGACATGAGTGATGCTCAAATGCAATTTGAACCTTCCGCTGAGTAATTTGCAAAGGCAAGGCCAGTTATGGGGAACTTATGTGAACAAACTCAAGTGCAGCCTAAAATAACCTTCTGAAGATCCCTATCATATGCAACGTAAATGTCTGGTTTGAGTGTGCTTATGTAATGTCCCTAGCGTCCAGTGTCCTCCTTATCGGCCTCTTTGCTCAGCCAATTGAGATGGTTCTCGTGGCTACTGCCAATGGAGCTAAATCAGCTTGCTGTCATTGTGATGCTTGTTTCAACCTGGACCGGGCCTGGGGACTGCCAATGATTATGCAAGAGAAAAGATGACGCACCAGACATTCATGCAAAAACGAAAAAGTCATCCCAAGATCCATCAGCAGAAAAGCCTTCCAAGAGTTTCCTAGAAGCTATTAGATTGTTCCTGCGGCCTTCATCGCGTGGTAGTTGATCCATATGGCAGGAGATTTCACTGTACCTGGAATGGGAGGAGAGAATCTTGGTCAGGTCTTGGTCTTGTTGGTTCTTCTGAAGGTGCTGAAGTCGTTGGACAGGCCAGGGGAGAGGATATCGTCGAGGGGGGAGGGGGGGGAGGATGGGATTGGCTTAGGAAAGACGGTCAATAAGAAAGATCAGAACACACGTTTGTCCCCAGGCCCGAATCGTGAAATAGCGCTCCTTTGCTTTCAGCTCTTCTGTTTTGTTTTCGCTACGTAGTTCTCTACTTTTTGGCAGAGCTTGGGAGGAGCAACGGTAAGCTTCAATATGGCTGTACCGTGACTGCTCGGCGTTTTGAGCGCGAGAAATTTAAGCTGCGCGCAGTGTTTAAAACCCGGTAGATTTGAGTCGCGTGACGATTTCGGAGCTCGCGCAAAAGTGTGCTGATCAGCGCGGCGCCCTTACCGCGGCCTGCCGTGGAGCAAGGCGGGACGCAGGGTTTTGGAACGATGACGTGGACTGAGCACGTGAAGAATGTGTTACTATCCTGCTTGGAAGCGTTCTGATTGGACACTTCCCTGTCCGGCCGTTTGAATTGGCCGGGTTGTCCCGCAAATCTGCTATGTACTTACATGATGTCAGTAGAGCCTACAAAGAAAGAATGCTGAGGGTGCTGAGGATAGGCAGGGAGAGGGGTACCTACTAACTCCTCCTCGCCTTGGGCATTTTTGCCGGCAGAGTTGCGCGATGAGCGCCTCTCAGAACCGGAGCTTGCCTTCGCTTTGCTGGAAGATTGTTGCAGTTCTGCATACGTCAAAACGACTCATCTGTCAGATAATTGGCCTCTGTAGAGAGTCCAAATGTTGAGCAATGCAGTTTCATCTGCCTAGATGCTATGTTCTGGTCTCAAGAAGTTGTGACATCTTTGTAACGGAACCACCGGAGGATTCCGCTAGAACTTTGCAGGTTCCGTTTATTCCGTTCAATTCTGTGGCGGAAGTTGGTTTGTTCTGGAGTTAAGGTTAGGGTTAGCAGGGTAAGGCCAAGTGCAATGTGATTTTACTATGGTAGGTAGGATATTGAATACCGTATTCTGTGCCCCAGCTAACAACCGCCCAAACCCCTCGTCACTGCCCGTCAGGTCGCAAATGTGGACATCGCATTCCGATCCGGGTTGTCTTGTCTTGTCTTGTCTTCTTGCTTAGTTACAGACGGCTCAAGGCGCTGCTCGAGGGCTGCTCCATTGCAGAACAGCATCCACCCAGATACCCCAGCGACTCGAGGGGATGGTTGGACACGGGTTGATTGAGATTGGGCAGCTTGAGCCCCTTCCGATTCCAAGATCATAGTCTTGTCGTACGTCAACGCGACGTGATCAGTCGTCCAAGACATGAAAAGAATTCTGATACTTTTTGATGAGCTCACAGGCATTCAGATACACAGATATGGGACTTGGTTTGGCATTCAAATGCAGATCACTTTTCTAAAACTTGTAGTGCACTTTGCCGGGATCGGCGTGCTTCAATTGTGACAATTATGAAATCGAATAGTCCAACTTGTCAGCGCTTGATTGACCGCTAGCTGCCTGCACACTTGGCTGAGCGTTGAGTCTCGTAAAGTGCACGTCTTCCCCACGACCAAGTACGTCCTTGCGCGGCACAAAAAAGATGACGTACGTGCATGCGGGCTTGCAGGTATTAGACCGGTGTTTCCTTCAGCTCATGCACGACACTAGCCGCGCTCGGTTATTGAATGCGGGATCGGATTTGGAGGATCAATGGAACCTCGATCAGACCTGGCCGCCATGTGCATGCAGATGGCCTGGCATGATAGAAGGCTTTTAATGTTAATTGCACGGCAGCATGGCCTGGGCGGCACTGTATGAGGACTCATCGTATACAGAATGCATCTCCTTTAGTTCATGTGGATTGAAGTATATTACCTTGATAAACCGCCACCGTACCTCCGGGTTGGATGATCCACTTTATCTGGATTAAGCATGTGTAGTGCGCCGGTCGTAGCAGGCCTCTGCCAATTTTCTAAAGCGGTATATACGTTTTTTACGGACGGCTTAGTATAATGATGGCCAATGTCCACGAGAACTAGGGCCTACGCTATTGAAGCAGAATGAAACTTGACACTCGATGCTTGCAAGAGTTACGCACATGACAGATGTCACGTCAGCCGGCCCATCACTACCGTTGGTTAGTGTAGTAACAATTTCAAAGAACCAGTGAAGGTAGACGAAGCGCCCTTCAGAAGTGCTCGTTTACCGTCAGTTTGGACCGTCATGCTGATCCGAACAGGTGAAGGTTATCTTCGTAAAGCGTGCTGTTTTTCGTCCTTACATAAAGTCCTTCCCGGCGAACACTGACAGTAACGTTACTCATCAGCGAATGTGTCTTTTGTACAAGCCATACAGTCGGTAGCCCTAACAACAAATTGAGGCGTGTTTAGAGCCGTCCAAGAGCACGTGGCTTCACACAGCGCGCGCACGTCGCTCCCCCTCCTACTCCCACGTCACCACGTTCCCGTTCTTGTCGGCGCTCGCGAGCGGCCTCCCCCGGTCACTCCAGCTGCAGCTGAGTACGGGCCCGGCATGTCCTTTCAGCGCTCGGTCTACGGCCCCCGACTGCGTGTTCCACACGAAAACGGTCCCGTCTACAGACCCCGCCGCGGCGTGCCGGGCGTCGGGGCTGAGGCAGGCACGTGACCAGTTGGTGGCGACGCGGTAGCCGGCCGCGCGCAGCGAGGTGCGCGCCTCGAAGGTGCGCACGTCGATCAGGTTGAGCACGTTGTCGCGGCCGTTGGACAAAATCTGAAGGGATGAGCAAACGGTTAGGTAGTGGCTGGCAAGGGCGTGGCCGAGGTTGGATGATTCGACGTTCTAGGTTCTGGGGCGCTCGCGTCTGAGCAAAGGGTATCTAATAGCGGAACTCATCTTTCAGATTTCTACGACTGACTCGAGGGGTCATATCTCCGGCAAGAGCTTTGGATCCCGATCGCTCCTGTTCGTAAAAAAAACACTTTAGCGTCTGTTTGAGAGCGACAAGAAAAAAACTTCTACAACTCTGATTAGCGATTGGTGAGAACGTCGTGTTCAGTGTTTGGAAACGCAAAAGGGCAAGCCCAAGCCCAGAAATTCTTGGTGCACAATCTAACAGTCCAGCCAAGATTGAGAAGCGAAGGACGCACCGTGGCGCCATCCCGCGAGAGGCACACCGACGTCACCCCCTGCGCGTGCGCCGCGACCTCGTTCGCGAGCCGCCCGCTGCGCATGTCCCAAAAGCGTATGTGGCCGTCCATATGCCCCGACGCCACCACCCCGTTTTCCACCACGACGCAGCACGTGTTGCAATTACTGTGGCAAATGATTGTCTGGATGCCGTACCCCGTGTTCAGGTCCCAGATCTTGAGCGTCCGGTCGTGCGCGGCCGACACCGCCTTGCGCCCGCTCGACCCGCTGAAATCGACGGCGATGACCTTGTCCACGTGGCCCGTCATCGTGTGCCGGATGCGCCCGGAGGAAAGGTCCCAGAGGTATAGCTTATTGTCGGAGCTGCACCCGAGGACCCAATTATTATGTGCCGACACGGACAAATCCAGAATTTGCCCGAGCGCCCCCCGGAGAGTGTTGCTGACCGTCCCCCCCGCCGTCTCCCACACTTTGATCAGCTTGTCCGTGCCCCCCGAAAAGAGCGACCCGGCGCCGTGGTCGAACGCGAGCGCGGAGCAGCCACCCTCGTGAGCGCGTAGCGTGTGGCGCGACGAGGAGGGGGGGCCCGACGGGACGAAGTCCGCGGCGTCGCCTTCGCTCTGCCGCACGATGCCGTCCACCTGAAAGGTTAAGTTTGTGAGTTAAGCTCGAGTCAGCGATGTGGCGATCGCCCTCGCTCTTCCGTACATGAAGGGATGGTGATTACAGGTTAATCAGGGTTAAGCGCAGGTCAAGGCGCGTAAATTAAGGAAGCGGGCAGAGAAAGGACAAGACGCGGAGGGGGGCCCGACGAAACGAAGTCGGCGGCGTCGCCCTCGCCCCGCCGCACGGGTTGACTACGAGTTCAGGTTGGGGGTTCAGCTCGGGTTAGGCCTGTTAAAAAAAGAAAACGGGATGGCATGAGAAGGGGTCCGGATGTCCACAAGGATCGAGTCAGGAAGTAGAGAAAGTGGTAGAAAGACGGCAAGACGAGGAGGGGGGCCAAAGCGGACGCAGTCAGGGGCATCGCTTTCGCTCCACGAGGGCAGTGAAGGAATACGCAGGCTCGGCTTGACTTAAGCAACTGTTGTACCAAGGATACTGGTGTGAGCAGAGACTACGTACAGGCAGTGTTTTGGTACAGGAAGGCTGCGTAGTCTTGAAACTGAGGCAAAGCCGTTACGAGGAGGGACGCATCCTAAGCCAAAGACCGGGGATGTTTTGATGTAATCGGGATATAGGGTTGACAGCACTCCCTCAACGATGCGCACAGGGGAACGGAAACAGTCAAGAAGGGTCAAGCTTGCTTCTAGAAGCGTTTCGGTGTCGATTGTGAGGGACGAGACCATCATGGCACTTTGCACGACCTCTGACACTCGAGCCGACAATATTGAGAGAGAACACGCAGTTGAACCGCACCACCAAAATCTCCTGGGATGGAATGCTTTCTTTGCTGAACGGGTTGGGAAGCAAAATTGAGCTATCCAAATGTGCTCGAGTGCGTCACTGCTGAGCGAACAAGGAAGAGGAAGGCCTCGAACGAAGCGCGGAGCAAAGAGACGCAGACATGAATCTTTTCGTTGAGCATTACAGTCCAGAACGGACTGTGCGGGCAACTGAAAAGTGAGTGAACTGCAAAGCTTTGACAAAAATATCCAAAGGTTGACCCGACAAAGCACCAAAAGATTCGTGCGGCTTTCAGTGGGCGCTAGTGTGCTTGACCGACTGCTAGAGGATGCTTCACGCGACTTGGTCATAAGATGCACGTGTCAGAGGTACGTTGACAGCTCACCTGAGTGCGCGCCACGTCCTCCAGCCGCTGTGCGTTGGATCGCTTCAGCAGGTCCTCGTACATGTCGTTCAACTGCAGATGCAGAGAAAGCAGACCCGTGAGCGATTCACGAAGTTTGACAGGCAATCCGCAAAGTTCAATGAACGATTCACCCACCTCGGCCCATGTATAACCCTCCGCTCCTTGGCCTCATCGCGTTAGATTGCATCGTGCAAATGCGTTTCCGCTAATGTCGCACATTTAATGTAGAAGTGCAAATTGTATGGACCGTTCGATTGACTCTATCGCCGCTCCGCGAGCTAGCCATGGTATAACGCGGCCTCCAATATGCGCAACCTGCTAGCCCTTTCAGGCAAGCATTTCGTGCTGCCAAGACTCTTGCCGGGTAAGTACGTGCAACTTTTGACAGACAGACAGGCTGGGACACATGGCCAGGACATTTTCTGCGAGTATTTACACCCGTGCCCCTCGGAGCCTGGCGGAAGCTCAAGGCTCGCCCAACCACGTACAACGCAAGGAGATAAAATGCTCCTAATAACAACAGATAATGATAACAAAAGCATAGCCCGGAATGCGAAAACCCCTTGTCCCTCGACCTGTCCTTGAACCGCTCTTGATCTTTGTGCGTCCCAAAAGTGCAATCGACTGGAGTAGAACAAAACAAGCATCCTGACAAAGGACTGATAACGGAGGGGGTAAGGAAGAGAGCTCAACCAAAAGGCCTTTGGCAATGCTTAAGCTTCCCCGTAATCCCTCACCTCATTCAACCGCTCCGCATCCTTGAGTTTCTGCTCCATCCACCGGTCGACCAGGTCCTTGTTCTCCGCCTCCACTTTCTTCAGCCGTTCCTCCATCTCTCGCTGCTCCTCTCGCGCACGCTGCGCTTCTGCCGCCGCTAGTTCGACCGCAGCGTCCTTGTTCGCGGCCTGGCTCTCAACTAGAGCGAGGCGCGCTTTTGTCGAGGCGAGCTCCTCTTCGAGGGCTTGTATTCGACGGGCCTTCTCTTCTACGTCGGCCTTCAAGGACTGCATGAGTGAAGAAATGGAAAGTGTCAAAAGTGGAAAAGGGAACGAAGAGAAGCATCCTTGTTCGCGGCCCGGCTCTCAACCAGAGCGGGCGAGCTTTCGTTGCGGCAAGCTCTTCTTCAAAGGCTTGTAATTGGCGGGGCTTCTCTCCTATGTCGGCCTTCAAAACTGCGTGGGTGGGGCACGGAAAGTACCGCCAAAAACGTGTGAGGATACGCAAATTGTCAAAAGATAAAAAGGAAAGGGAAAAAGTAATTGTTTGAGGTCTGGTCTTGACTACAGAGGAGGAGGTTTTCATCATGGCGACTTTCTTTCAGAGCCTACGAGAAAAAGGAATTCAGACCCAGAAAACGGACGAAAAAAGAGTAGAGATTGGGGGCTTCTTATGTTCACTGTCTGTCTCCCCCTCAGTGTGAGACGCTCGAGTGTGATCAAGGTTCTTCATCTACAAATGGCCGATGCTGAGTTTTTTCATTAACCTTAGCCTCTACAATCTGCAGGGCCAAAAGGACAAGGTGAATAGTCACGAGCTTCAGAGTTCTCAACCAGGAGAACCATTGATATCTGAGGTGCCGGTCAGAACTCGCAAGTTTTTTCATTGACAGACCGCGCAAACCGAAGTACAAGACCGATAGATTTGGCCAGCTGTTGCGTTGCATGCCTGTGAATGAAACCTCAATGGGCCTCACATCTTGGTAACTTATGGTTCCATTTATGCAGGGGAATGAAGTCAAAAAGAGAATAACGCCTGTTGGACTGTGGGTACAATCTATCTGTGAAGAACTGGCCCGCACAGGCGAGTTTGTTCAACCGAGCAAACACAACGGTTACGTAAAGGAGAGTCCACCACAGCAATCAACTGGATACCCGGCCCACTTCACCTTCCATGAATGCCCCTTGGGCAGCTGGAGAATAAGGGCAGACTAAAGCAATCCCCAACTTTAAACAACGTGGTTTACCCAGTCAAAGGGGCCCACTTAAAAACTCCCACAAGATTGTAATCAACAACTGTATGACACCACTCACAGGACCGTAGAAACAGCTTACCAACCAACAGACCAAGATATGTCCCAAGGAAAGCACCACATGGTCAGATCTCCCACCTGAACAGCATTGCTGGCCTGCAACAGCTGTTGCGCAGTCCCCGCGTTTGTCTTGTAAGCCGCTCCTAGTTCCTCTCTCGCCCGCCCCAGCTGCTCCTCCAGAGCTTTTGCCTCCGCACTCCGGGCCGCATTCTTCTCGTTGTCTTTCAACAAATTTTTCAGCTCCCCGTTCTCCTCTCGTAAACTCCCAACCTCCTGTTCAAGGCGCTGTGTGTCCTTCCCCGACTGCGTGGCTTGCGCTAAGTACTGCTGATACCCGTTCACTAATTCTTGGTATGCGGCGCACTCTGCGACGTTGCGGGCGTAGAGCTGCGAGCACACGTCGCGCACCGCCAGCGTGGCAACTCCGCCATGCGCCATTGGAACAGCGAACAAAAGCTGGACCTTTCAACTACCGTTTGAAAAGCAACTATCCAGCTGCTTTGAAACTGGAAAGGTTCTTGCTTTCTAGCGGGCACGATGTATTGCTGGATACTATGTATGAATCAGACTGCCAGCCCGCTCTGGTTGAAAGAAAGCCTCGAGAGAGGCGCAGCCCTGGCAGCCACGCAAGAGCTGAGCTGCGCCACGGCTTGGTCATCGGAATCGGGTTGAATCAATCAGGTTGGATCTGTAGCCTGTAGGAGCATAGGATGAGAACCATCGACACAACCCCTATCCGTACCGGTAAAACGGTCGGATCGTATAATAACACCATCAGGCCTGTCGTCCCCCTGCCCCTAAGCGCCGGTTGCTTCGACAACGAGCGCTTTGAGCGACACGTTCTGTGTGCCGTTGGTTGTTTTGGTCGCTCGTTAAAACGTCGTCGACGGGACGGTGCTGTAGTCTGCCTGCCAACGACGTCTTTCGAAGCTGGTCGGGCCTACCAAATGAATTTCGGCCTTATTGGACGGCCAGGATGCGTCCTGTCGATCCCTAAGTTCTCGCGATCGATCGGACGGTCCTGAAAATTCGAGTTTTGGCTTAGCGTCAGCTGACTGGTAACGATAACGTAGAGGATTTTGCCAGCTGGCCCCCCGCTGCGAACTCGGCGCACCGCCGGAGCTCTTCGAAGCGGTTACCATCGAATTTCGAGCCTTCCGGCGGTCCGCCGTCCCGGGTGCCCTGCCAGTCTATAGCATCGTGAGTACTTAGGGAAAGAGGAGGCCGGAAGGATGACCAAGGTTAGTCGGAGACTTAGACAGAGCTCCCAGTTGATTCTAAAGGGACAGCTTCGTGCATGTTGGTGCATGCTAGGGGGTTCCGACCATGGCAGCCCCCACTGAGCACTACTTGGCTTCGGATCTAGCTCAAATCGTACGCGGCTTGTACCATATAGACCCAGAGTGCGTCCGACCTTCCGAGATAGGGCAGATTTCTGGCAAGTGCATCACTTGCAGGCAGCAGGTCTGGAAGGGCACAGGCGGTACAGACGGGGTGCTGAGGCTGAGCCTCCGCAAGAGCCCGATGAAGGGTTATCTGGTGAGCTGCAGCATTCCAAAGAGCAAGCAGAAACGGCAAATCCTTTGCCTCGCGTGCGTCGCCAAGCTCATGGGCCAGCTGAAGGTCGGCGCCGATTCACGGAGCTTGACACTCTGCGACCGCGGGCACAACCAGCAAGATGCGCTGCTCTTTGAGCGCCGGGCCTCGGGGAGCTGGAAGCAAACGCTGGAGCTGACGAACGAGCTGCTTGAGGCTGTTGTGATCTCAAACGAAAGCACCGTGAGCAGGAAGAAGCCGAAAAAGGCTGCAGCTGAGAGCGCACTGAACAGGGGCATGCAAGCCGGCAGCCGCGCGCGCGAGATGCTGGTGAGTGGAGATAATTTCTTAGTAGAACCTATGAGGATTTCCAATGCAACATGCGTCTGCAAGCGATTGCGCCCGTCCTGCGAGATTCCGATGGACTCATTGCATGGCATGCGCCCATGCTAAGAGGGGGAGCACGCGCACCGACTACATGCTCTTCATGGAATTTCTCATGGCCCGCCACCCAAAGGGCGGGATACTGCGCAAGATCCCGGATGCGATCTTGAGCTGCTCGTTTACCTCGGACTGTGAGCAAGGCGTGAGGTTGATCTCAGAGAGCGGTCAGGAAGTGTGTCTGAAAGATCTGGTTGGCACCTGCAGCCTGAGGCCCACCTCGGTATCGCCGCCCAAGCAACCCTCTTCCTGACCGGCATCCTGGATGGCACGTGCCGCATAGTCGTACCCGCTGGAGTGGACGCGTGTGGGCCTCCCATGCGCCTTTACATGACGTATTGGGATCACAACCGCGGGAGGCCAAAAGCCCTCGGGAAGCCAAGCAAAGAGAAGGCGCTGCTGGAGGAATGCTGGTGGGATAGCCAGGGACACTCGAATTGCTCTTGCGATCGCGGTAGGCTCGCCAGAGACGCTCCTTGCGTTCACAAGCTGGTGCTCGCGGCCCTCGGCGCTTCCGGGATGGAGCAGAGGGGCCTTCCCACGG